CCGCTCGCGAGCGCCGCTGTGCCGGTGGCCTCCACAGCGGCGCTCGCGAGCGCCGCTGTGGAAGCCACCGGGGCTGCCCCCGGCTTGTCGGCCCCCCCGCAGTGCTGCATGCGTTTCAAGTGCGCCTTTCGCAGCAGTTTCGGGGCTGCCAACTCCTCCGTCAAGTGACGCGTCGTGCAGTTCCGCGGCAATATGTCGTCCTGCAGCAGCAGCAGCAGCAGCAGCAGCAGCAGCAGCAGCAGCGGCGGCGTTTCAGCGTGCGAGCTTGGAAGCAAAAGGGACGGGGAGTGTTTGCTGCGCCTCGCTGGGCTCTGGCGAAACTAAGCGGCTCGAGCAGCAAAGGAGAAGTGCACTGTTTGCTGCTGGCGGGCGCTGCTGCTGCTGCTGCTGCTGCTGCTGCTGCGGCTGCTGCTGCGGCTTTCGCAGCTGCAAGCGCCGAACAAAAGCTGCGCAGCAGCAAACGCGAACAGCCAGCAGCAGCAGCAGCAGCAGCAGCAGCAGCAGGCCTGGAAAGGGAGGCTGGAGACTCACGATGGCGCGAAGTCGAAGCAAGTCGTGGTGGAGGCCCTCGAAGACAGCCAGCCGGCCAGCCACTTCGGACTTGGGCTGCAGCAGCAGCAACTCCTCCACTGTCTCGTAGGCGAGGCAAACAGCTTCGCACTGCAGCATGGCTTGCGTGAGGCTGCGGCTGCGGGCGAAGTGGAAGCAGCAGAAGACCACTTGGCCCGCGCGCAGCAGCAGGTACTCCTCCCGCTGCGGCTCCTTCACCTGGACGCAGCAGCCGCAGCTCAAAGTCCCTTATTTAGATAAAATAGCCTTTTTAGCTTCGAAAATTCGAAAAAAATCCAACAAAAACCCTCAAAATGAAGAAGATCGCCCCCCGCGCGCCGCCGGCGGCGTGCGCGCGCGCTGCGCAGGTGTACGTACACCCCGCGGCTCGCGGCCGCGGCGGCGGAAAGCGGCGGAAAGCGGCTCGTTTTGAAGGAAAATGAAAATAAAATAAATAAAATAGTTTATAAAATAGTTTATTTTTGAAAATAATTCACCTTTACCACGAAATCCGCGCGCGCAAAGACCTCAGCAGCGCCCTCCACCAACTCCGCCCCCGCCGCGCTGTACGCCGCGTCCGGCGCCCCCGCCAACTCGCCGGCCCCTTTTTGAATTATCACTTTATGTTTATTTCGGACAAGTTCGGCAGCCCCTGCGGGCAGGAGGCCCACTCTGCCTTCCTGGGGCTTGATTTCTTTGGGGCAGCCGACGATCATTTTGCTGCAGTTTGCTGCAGTTTGCTGCTGTTTGCTGCAGTCTTGCTGCACTAGTAGTGGCCGCTGGGGCCTCGGGACGCAGGGCTTTGGTTTGATGAAGTTTGGAGAATTTCAAAAAGTGAAAAACGAACTTCAAATCTTTCTGAGACGCTGCAGCCCCCGGCCGCGCAGTGTGCTGACACTCGGAAGCCGCTGGCCGAGGTCACCGCTGCAGGGCCTCGCAGGGGCTCTCTCGGCAACTTTTTGCTTCTTTGAGTGGTGAAAAGCGCAGTTTAATTAATTAATTTGGTTAATTTGATTAATTTAATTAAATTAATCCATTAAATTCATTAATTCAACTAATTTGAGGAAAAGAAAGGCAAAAGAAAGCAGCTTCCCACTGCCGCGGGCTCCCGAGGAGGGCCGCGGCGGCGAACCAAACCCGAATTCGAGTTTGCTTCAGCTGCTGACTTCAAATGAAGAAAAATTCTTTTTAATTATTTAAAAATGTTTTCAATTTTGTTTTTCTTTTCTGCTTTTACTGCAGACGCAGCCGCGCCGAAGGCCGAGACAGCTGCGCGCGAGTCCGTCGATTGCCAAGCTCTGCAGTGTCTGCGAGCTAGCTTTCTCTGAACTTCGGCAAAACTAAACTAATTTTCCATTCTAATTTCGAATTTAAGTATATTTTGACAATATTTCTGAATATTTGAATGTTTAATATAAGCTTTTTCGTTCAGTTTGGCTGTGTTGGCTTCGTTTTGCATCTCTCGAGATCAGCAGGTTCGGGTGTATCTACTGCTCGGCCTCGGAGAGAAAGCAGTTCTTTTTTCAAGAGGAATTGCAAATATAACTCTGTAGATAAATAAATATTAAAAAATGCATAATTTAACTTTTCGAAATTCTCGAAAATTTCAACAAAGTGCGCAGATTCAAGTTTCTGAAATTCTTGCACACCGTTGGTGTTCCATTTGCTGTTCGAGGCCTCATCCAACAAGTTTATGCTTTTTGAGCTTCCTAGAATAAAAATTAATGATTTTTAAAATTAATTATTTATTTATTTTGCATTTTTCTCCAATTTCTCTCTCTTTTCAAAAAATTATTTCTTGTAGTTCGCCTCTGTTGACTATTTGGACTTTTTACTGCTGCAAAAGCAGCTCAGCAACTGAAACAGAAGCCAAATGCCACTTCAACATGAATTTATCCTTTCACATTTTGTTGAACTTCAAATTGAAAAGACTTTCTTGTTGAACTTCAAAATGAAAAAGATCTGCATTGAGTGGCTTCAACTTAATTTTCCAGTGTACAAACACCACAGAGTCATAGCTGGAAACATGAAGGCTTCAAAAGTCTTTATTATTTAAATTAAATTCGAAACATGAAAGTTTTGAATTCAAAATCAAATTCAAAACTCCAAATGCTGCATTCTTTCTTTAAAGCAGTTCTAATTCAACACACGTGCTCGCTGAAGACTTCTAAAAGCTTTTTCGGCGAAGACAAAAAGGCTTTCAGAAAATCCATTTTTTCAAATAATGCACAAGAGGCTGGCCCTTTCATATTAAAGGACTTCTTTGTTTTTTTTTGATAAAAGGCTCTTTTTGTTTTCCTTCAAACAAAATGATCTTTTAAAAAAAGGGCTTTTTTGTTGTCCTTTTATACAAAAAGCTTTTCTTGTTGTCCTTTTAAAACAAAAGAATCCTTTAAATAAAAGGCTTTTTTGTTGTTCTCTTTGGCAAAAGGGTCTTTTAAATAAAAGGCTTCTTTGTTGTCCTTTTAAAACAAAAGGATCTTTTAAATAGGAGTCTTCTTTGTTGTTTTTTAGACAAAAGAATCTCTTTAAAAAAAGGACTTTTCTTGTGTTTTTAGACAAACATTTATAATATAAAAATTGACATTTTTGGTTCTTAGACAAAAACTTTTTTCTTCTTTTGGCCTCGTTACTGCTTCTCGCAATAACTGACTAAATGGCATTTGTTTTATTGCTTTATTTAATTTATTTAAAAATATAAAAAGAGTTACTTATTATTTGTCCGCTGCTGCTGCTGCTGCTGCTGCTGCTGCTGCTGCTGCTGCTGCATTATTCTGTTTTGCTTCGCAAGGGATTACAGCTGGAGCTGCGGTGTACGTACACAACAGAAAAGCAATTCATTATTTCTCTTGAGAAGTTCTTATTGGTTGTCTTGCTGCTGCTGCTGCTGCAGCTGCTGCAGCATATTGCTGCTGCTGCAGCAGCACTTTGCTGCTGCAGTTGCTGCAGCATTTTGCTGCTGCTGCAGCAGCAGCTAGTTGGCATTTTTGGTTTTCGTTCTTTGCCAAGAATTGCATTTATCTGCGAGGCCAGCTGCTATTCTATTCATTCTTTTTTCCTTTTTCGCCATTTAATATCTATTTCATTTATTTATTTATTTATTTATTTATTTATTCATATTTATTTATTTATTTATTTATTTATTTAATTGCCTCTGTAGTTCTCCGGCCCAAGATGAAGCGCCACAGCCTCAGACAGCACCGGCAGCGAAGCGGCTCTGCGTGCAGAAAAGATAAAAATGACAAAACTGAAAAATAAAAAACATTTATTTATTTATTTATTTATTATTTATTTACTTATTATTATTTATTTATTATTTATTATTTATTTATTTATTTATTTAAGTTTTATTTATTTTATAAAAGACGGAACAAACGACAAATGTAACGCCGCCTCTTGAGGCAGGTCTTGGGCAAAAAACTCAAAAAAAATTCAAGAAGATGAAACACAAAGAACCATTTGATGAAGATGAAATCCGAATTTAAAATTAAAATTAAAATTAAATAAAAGAAAAGAAAAGAACGGGAAAAAAAGAAGAAAAAGAAAAGAAAGAAAAGAAAGAAAAGAAAAGAAAAAAGGAGAAAAAAGAAAAGAAAGAAAAGCAATAGTTGCTTCACTGGGGTGTACAGACACCTGAGGACAGGAATCCACTGGACTGGAAGTGGAAGGAAAAAGTGAATTTCATTTTTTAAAAAGAAAAGAAATTGGACTTTGGCAAATAAACGGACTTTCCGGAAAGTGCAGCAGCAAAGGCCTGGGCCAGCAGCGACAAAAGGAAAAAAGAAGAAGAAAGAGAAAGAGAAGAAAATAAACTTTCGTTTCGATTTAAAAAAAAAGAAATAACTTTGTGTTGAATGTTGGACAAAGTGAAGCAGCAAAGAGACAACAGCGAAGCCTGCGGGAACAAACAAAGCCGCTTCACTTTGCTGCTGCTGCGCGTTCAGTCGCAGCACTGCAGCAGCAGCAGCAGCAGCAGCGCAGCAGCAGCAGCAGCACAGCAGCAGCAGCAGCAGAAAGAGCCGGCAAGTGGCGTACAGCAGCGGCGTTAGAACCAAGAGCAGAGGAAGCAACTGCAGCAACAGCAGCAACAACACTAGCAGCAGCAGCAGCAGCAGCAGCAGCAGCAGCAGCAGCAGCAGCAGCAGCAGCAGCAGGAGGTCGTGCAGCAGCAGCAGCAGCAGCAGCAGCAGCAGCAGCAGCAGCAGCAGCAGCAGCAGCAGCAGCAGCAGCAGCAGCAGTAGAATTGGCCGCAGCAGCGCACAGCGGCACAGCAGCAGCAATGATTGCAGCAGCTACAGCAGCAGCTGCCACAGCAGCAGCTACCACAGCAGCAGCTGCTGCAGCCGCAGCCGTCCCACAAGCAGCACGACCGCCTCAGCCGTCCGCACCAGCAGCAGCAGCAGCAGCAGCAGCAGCAGCCGCAGCAGCAGCAGCAGCAGTCTCACAGTCATGAGGTGGTGTTTAACAAATGGATTAGTTTTAATGATCTTTTTTTTCAAAATAAAAAAAGAAGAAAAGAAAGAAAACAAATTTACAAATCCTCCAAAACGCCCAAACAGCAAACCCAAAGAAGGGTGGGGGGGGAAAGCCTGAAAATAAATAAATAAATAAATAAATAAATAAATAAATAAATAAATAAATAAATAATAAATAATAAATAAATAAATAAATAATAAATGTTTTGTCAAAAAATAAATTAATTAGATAAAACAATTCACAAATGTGGAGGGAACTGCATAAATAAGTGCCACAACAAATGCATGCATGCATGCCTTTTATTTCGCAGAAGCAGATACAAAGACAGCAGCAGCAGCAGCAGCAGCAGCAGCAGCAGCAGCAGCAGAACTGGTATAGTTCCAGCAGCAGAAGCGGCGCGAGCCACAACGGCAGCAAGAGCAGCAGCAGCGCGACGAGACTAGAAGCAGCAACGGGATGGACAGCAGCAGCAGCAGCAGCAGCAGCAGTAACAGCAGCAGCAGCACTAGCAGCAGCAGCAGCACAAACAGCAGCAGCAGCAGCAGCAACGCTTACCTGCATGGTGTCGGCGAGTGGCATTAAATAACAAGCAGCAGCAGCAGCTCGACAAACTTTGGAAACTTTTTCTTTTTCTTTTTCTTTTTTTATTTCTTCAAAATCATCTTCAGCAAAGTTGAGATAATCATTTGAGTTCAAGGGGGGCCCCTGGGGGCCCCCCCAGGCCCACAGCCGGCTGGGGGGCCCCTCTCTGGGGCCCTGCAGCGCCAAAACCTGATTCCAGGGGCCCCTCGCAGCCGCTGCTGCTGCTGCTGCTGCTGCTGCTGCTGCTGCTGCTGGGGGCCCCCTGGGGGCCCCAGAGAGGCCTGGCAGCTCTGGGGGCCTCTGCAAATCCTTGAGTGCCACAAAATGACTTAAGGAGCTTCTATGGGGGCCCCCCCAGCGCCCCAGGGCCCCCAAAGCCGTGGGACCCCAGGGGGCCCCCCTGGGGGCCCCCCGGGGGGCCCCCCTGGGGGCCCCCCAAGTGGCTGAGTTGTGCTGCGGCGAGCTCTGCGCTGCTGCAGAAGGGGCAGCAGCAGCAGCTGACGCGGCAGCAGCAGCTGCTGCAGCAGGAAAGGCAAGGGACAGGAAGGAAATGGGGCCCCTAGGACCGCCGGGGGGCCCCCTATAGAGGCTGGGGGGCCCCAAATAGGGTACAGTTTGGGGGCCCCTATTGGCGGGCCTGCAGCTGCTGGACTCAGCAGCAAAACGCGAAGGAGCCTTTACAAAGAATGCTGCTGAAAAATGAGTTGAGAGGAAAATGGGAAAAGTTGAAAATGCAAAAACGAAGAAAAACGAGCCAAGCAGACGCCACCCCCCCAACCTTCCTTTTCTGCGCATGGTAGCATCCCTTTTTGTGGAAATAAATGTTTAAATGGCAAATAAAATCATTTGAAAAGCATTTGAAAACAGATCATGAGCGAAACCCGGCAAACATCCCAGCGCTGCTTCGGGTGTATGTACGTACACCCGAGAGGCGGCGCGGGAACACCCTCGAGTTCTTCGCCGCGGAAATGACTTTTTTTGTTTCCGTTTTTGAATTTAAATTGAAGTAATTAATTGAAAGATTTGGCATTTAATGCAAATAAAAGAAGTTCGCGGGAAAAGACTCACAAGCCCCAGCCCACTGGGCCCGCGGGAAGACACTCGGTTCGGCCGTGAGTGATTCACGCCGCATTTCCCCAACATTTATCCGCGCAACAGATTATTTATAATTTAAATTGAAAAGATAATTCAATTAATTATTTATAAATTTAATTGAAAAGATAAATCAATTCATTTTCGCGTTTATTTGGCGCTTCAAGTCGGGCCAGATCATTTGCTGCGGCTTCCCTGTATCTGCAGCCAGTCTCAGTTCAGTTTGCGCCCGTTTCGCCTCTAGCGTTTCATTTCATGAATTAATTATTTATTTTTTTTCATTTTAGGAATTAATTGTTCATTTAAAAGTTCTATTTTGCACAAATAACTTTTCTAAACGAACAGGCTGCCGCCTGGGGCCCCTCTGCTGCCCCGACAGAACTGGAATTGAACCTAAACAAAACTGAAGGCCTAGGAGCAGCAGCAGCAGCAGCAGCAGCAGCAGCAGCAACAGCAGCAGCAGCTGCAGCAGCAACAGCAGCAGCAGCAGCAGCAACAGCAGCAGCAGCAGCAGCAACAGCAGCAGCAGCAGCAGCAACAGCAGCAGCAGCAGCAGCAGCAGCAGCAGCAGCAGCAACAGCAGCAGCAGCAGCAGCAGCAGCAGCAGCAGCAGCAGCAGCAGCAGCAGCAGGCGTTGGACAGAGTAAATTGAAACAAGTGAGTTGTCTGTTCCTAAACAACACTCCCAAATGCAAAACTCCACTACAATTTGAAAACTTGGCCCACATTTTTATTTCTTTTTTCTTTTGATGATTTTCCACAAACGCCTCTTCGCTTCCACTGTTTACTCGAAGGACATAAGCAAGGCCGCCTTCGCGTGCCGAAAGTGCATATAATATATAATATATATAATATATACATATATATATATATTATATACATATATAATATATATAATATATACATATATATATATGTATATATATATATATATATATATATACATATATATATGTATATATATATATATGTATATATATATATATATACATGTATACATATATATCTATATATATATACATTTATATGTATACATGTATATATATATGTCTATATATATATGTACGTATATAAGAATAAATATATATATATATATATAAGTATATATATATATATATGTTAAATATGTATATAATAATATAATATATATATATTATATATATATTATATATATATAAACAGCTGTAGAGAATATATGCACTGGGGCCCCGCCTGCGGGGCTGCTGGGCCCCGCAGCGGGGAAGACTGGCTGGGGCCTCTGCAGCAAAGCAGCAAATGGAAATGAAGAGCAGCAGCAGCAAATGAAATGCGGAGAAGCCAGTGGACCACTGCTGGACCACTGGTGGACCACTGGTCACTGCAGGCGCTGCTGCTGCTGCTGCTGCTGCTGCTGCTGCTGCTGCCAGTGCCCCCCGCAGCCCCAGCAGAGATGTATATATATATGCTCTTGCACATTTGAGAGTCTTTATATATTTCTGTCTTTGGATTTATTTATCTTTTATTTTTTATTTATTCTGTCTTTGACTCTCTTAGGCTTTATTGCACTAAGTGCTACTGCATACAACTCGCGCCTGCGTCCGCCGCTTCCTAACGCTGCTCTCCTGCTGCAGCTGCTGCTGCTGCTGCTGCTGCAGCAGCTGCTGCAGCAGCTGCAGCAGCTGCTGCGGCCGCGCCTGGCTTGTTGCGGCTGCAGCTTCGGTCGCAGCTCCGCTCCTGCTGCCGCCCCAGCAGCAGCCGCGGGCTCCCCGCAGCAGCAGCAGCAGCAGCTACTGCTGCTGCTGCTGCTGCTGCTGCTGCTGCTGCTTCTCGCCGTTAAGCTCCTGCTTGAGGCTGTTGACAATGGCCGCGAGGGCGGGGGAGTGGAGGTAAGAGTGGCCTTTGAGGAAGTTCGGAGAAGGAGAAGAAAAGTCTCTTCGCAAAAATAATAATTCCGAATAATAATGAGCTTCCACCACTCGCCCGTTGAACTTGCGGCCGTTCAGCGCCTGCAGCAGCAGCCTCGCAGCAAACCCTTCTTCACAACGGCCAGCAGCAGCAGCAGCAGCAGCAGCAGCAGCAGCAGCAGCAGCGAGCGGCCGCAACAAGAGCAGCAGCAGCAGCAGCAGCAGCGACACACGCAGCAGCAGCACGCTGCAGCAACACGAGCAGCAGCAGCAGCAGCACGAGCAGCAGCAGCAGCAGCAGCTACACGAGCAGCAGCAGCAGCAGCAGCAGCAGCAGCAGCAGCAGCGCACCTTTCTTGCGCTCGCCGAGGCCTCGCAGTCTATGAAGGCGACGTAGGCGTAGCCGACCATAGGGGGAAGGACTTTTGTCTTTCCTTGAATTGCATCCATCACCATTTGTTCAGTCACTTCGCTTTCCTCATCTGCTGCTGCTGCTGCTGCTGCTGCTGCTGCTGTGTCTTCCTTTTTGGGCGCCTTGAGGGGCTCGTCTTTCGCGGCGTCCTGCTGCTGCTGCTGGTTGCTGCTGCTGCTGCTGCCGTCTCCCTCCTCCCTCTTGACTTTGTGCGGCGGCGACTCGGGCTTGGGGCCGCTCGCGGGGCCGCTCGCGCCATCGCTCGCGGGATCGCTCGCGCCGTCGCTCGCGGGATCGCTCACCCCACACTCCTCGTGCAAGTGCCGCGGATCCACACAAGGATCTTTGCAAATCCGAGGCACCTGGACGTCCACCACTCTCCCCCCGCACTCTTCGCACTCCAGCCGAATGTCTTCGACAATATCCGAGTACTCTTCGTCGTCTTGCAGCTGCAGCGCAGCAGCAGCAGCAGCAGCAGCAGCAGCAGCAGCAGCAGCAGCAGCAGCAGCAGGTGCACGCAAACGGCTTGAAGACAAAACCGCCACTCCCTCAAAAAGGAAATTCGAAATTCCCCAAATTTTAAAGCGAACTTTAAAATTTTTAAAAGTTGTTTTTTTCTCCACTTTCCCTATTCTTATTTTCAGGCATATATGTTTGCATATATATACACACTTGATATTATAAGACACACTGAACTATTTATATATACAATATATAATAAATATGCAATATATATATATATATTATTTATACAATATGTAGTATATATAATATATATTATATATAAATTATATAATATATATTATGCATAATATGCATTATATACAATATATATAATAGATATATATATACTATATATAATTATATATTATATGTGCACCAAAGGAAATGGGCGGGCTGTGGGAAGAGCCAATTGCTGGGGCGTTTCTGGTTGAAGGAAGCGCGAGGGTTTAGAGGGGCGCAAACCACGATTTAGGGTTTAGATTAGGGTTTGGAGTGGGGCTTTACCTCCTGAGGAGTGACGATGTTGTGCAGCACGAGGACCCTCGTGCAGACCTGAGGCCGCAGCAGCGGGGGGGCCTTTTCAGTGCCTGCGACGGAGATTTTGTCTTTCAAAAAAGATGAAACTGCTCCTTCATTGATGGCGTTTTCGGCTGTCACCACTCGGTAGGGCGAATTCGTGTGCAGAATCTCCATGGCCTGCTGCTGCGAGTCCGGGTCCGTGTACTCGATCACGCACACCAGCTGCGGAAGCCGAAACGCAGAAACAAGTCCAAAAATGCAACAATTAATGCAAATATTTCCACTTTTCGCAGTCATTTCGTTGAAGATCGAACGGAAGTGGAGCGAAAGCCGAAGTGAGAGGATCGCCTGCGGACGCGGCAAGCTGAGGTGTACATACACCCCAGCACGCCGCATCCGCAGCCTTCACTTAGCACTGGTGGTACTGAATGGAATCGGAGTTAATTTTTGTTTTCTTTTGTTGTTTTTCTGTTTTTCTTTGTTGATTACCTGTGTCTCGTCGGTGTCCTTCTTGAGAATGTCAAAGGACTTCAGCGGACCGAAAGTTTCAACCAGCTGCCGAATCTGGAAGGCGCAGAAAGCAGAACAGAAATGAAAACGAAATGAAAACAAAAACTCTTTGCTGCTGCTGCTGCTGTTCAAATAAAAAAGCAAAATGGCAAACACAAATGAACTCTTCAGGCCGCATTGCTGAGGAAACGATGCATCTGCACAGACGCGAAAAACAATGCATTCTTGCGGCGCAGTAAACGCGTAGCGCACCCCCGCATGCAACAGCAGCAGCAGCAGCAGCAGCAGCAGGAGGAAGAGAGGAAGCTTTGGATGAATAAGTGGATGGTTTCCTTCTTTTGTTTGTTTTCAATTGCCAGTTCTCACCTTCTCCTCCGACATAGAGGCCGGGAGCCCCAAGACGCAAAGCTTGTCGGTTTGCGGCGGCCCTGAAGAAAGCAACAGAACAGAAAAAGCACTTGGAAACAGCAGCAGCAGCACAGCAGCAGCAGCAGCAGCAGCGCAACAGCAGCAGCAGCAGCAGCACAGCAGCAGCGGACCGTCTGCGCCGTTGGCGTTTTGTGCGGCCCTGGCTGCTGCCTGCGCGGCCTCGAGGGCGGCCTTGGGGTTGAGCGGGACGGCGTTGGTGTCTGCGAGCAGCAGCTGCTGCTGCTGCTGCTGCTGCTGCTGGATCTGGTTCACAATGGCCGTGGCCACTGCAGCAGCAGGGTGCAGCAGCGGAATCGTCGGCGCAGGCACCACCTGCTGCAGCTCCAGCGGGTAAGTCTTCGGCCGGCCTATCCGCAAGTTAAAGCCCAAACAACTCAGGCCATTCAGCTGCATCGCATTCGAGGCCTCTTCCATAGTTCTGAACTCCACGAAGGCGTAGTGGCCGTCGCTGCTGCGCCAGGCCTTCACTGCGGGGGGCCCCGGCAGCAGCCCGCCGCCGACAGCGGCCATTGCGGCGTTGAGGAATTCCAGCAGCTGCGGGACTTCGACGTTGGGGGGGAGATTTCCTATGTAGAGTTCTCGCGCTGCTTTTGTTGCTGCGGGGTCCAGCTGCAGCAGGCCTGCTGCTGCTGCTGCTGGCGCTGCAGCAGCAGCAGCAGCTCCCAGGGCCAGGCCCGGCGCTGCTGCTGCGGCGGCGGCGGCGGCGGCGGCGGCGGGGGTTAGTGGGGCCGCTGGGGAGGCGCCCAGCACGCCGCTGAGTGCTGCGGCCGCGCCGGGCACTGAGGCCAGGCCTGCTGCTGCTGCTGCTGCTGCTGCTGCTGCTGCTGCTGCGCTCGGCTCCTCGCTCTCCCCCAGACGCGGCGGAGAGTCAAACCGGTAAGCCTTCCGCCCCTCCGACCGCCAAGTGCTGCGCCGGTGGAAAGGACCCCCCCTGTCTCTGTCTCTGTCTCTGTCTCTGTCTCTGTCTCTGTCTCTGTCTCTGTCTCGGTCTCTGTCTCTGTCTCTGTCTCGGTCTCGGTCTCTGCTGCGCGAGCGACGGGGGAAGGGCTCGCGGGGGGGGCGGAAGCGCTCGCTGCTGCGTCGCTCGCGCTCGCGCTCGCGCTCTCTCTCTCGCTCGCGCGGCTCCCGCGGCTTCTCCCGGTCCCGCGGGCGCTCGCGCTCCCTCTCCCTCTCGCGCGGGCGCTCACGGTCTCGCTCGCGCTCCCGCTCGCGCTCCCGCTCCCGCGGCTTCTCCGGCTTCGGGGCCTCCCGCTCCCGCTCCCGCCCCCGCCGCTCCTCCCGCGCCATCTTCGCTCCCAAGTCCCTCCGCCTCCGCCGCTGCAGCGGGCCTGGCGGCCTCCGCACAGCTGCTGCAGCGCGAGCCGCCCGCCCCGCAGCAGCCCGCGCCCGCAGCAGCAGCAGCAGCAACCACCCCGCGATCCCGCAACCTCCTCAGCCCCCAGCTCCCCTCAGCCAGCCCCAAATGTCGTGCATGCACTCCCGAGCCGCAGCAGCTCCGAGTTCGCGGAAAAAACGCCGCGGAACAGCCCCAAACGCCGCCGTTCAACTTCTGCTGCTGCTCCAGCCGCCGCGGCGGACACGCAGCTCCGATCGCCGGGATCCGCGTGTCTTTTTGCCGCCTTTGCAGCAAAAATCCGCCGCAATTCGACAGAAATAAACAACTGCGCGAAATCTGCGAGAAACAACGGAGAACTGCAGCAGCCGCAGCATGCAACCCCGCGAGCCGCGCGGGAGAAGCAGAGTTGGGCCGTTGGTTTGCCCCCGCAAACCCTACAAAACTCTTTTCGGGTCTTCTTTATTTCTCTTTTAAATCAAAATTGCGCAGTTCGGATCCCAAAAGAATAGTTCGCCGCAAACCCTTGGTGCAGCAGCGGCGCCACAGGGCTGTGGGCCCTCCCTCGCCAGGTCCTAGCAGCGCTGGAGGCTGCTGGTTTCGCAGCAGCAACAAACTTCACCACAGAATTCCATCTTTTCAACTCCATTTAGTCTTTATTTTCACTTACTGTTTACCCATTTGCAGTCTTCAAATGGCCAGTCGCAAAGGGGAGGAAAACAGGGGTGCATGCCGCAGTGCTGTGCTGCTGGGAGTTTCTGTGAAACTTGAAATATTCAAATTGCCCATTTTGGCTTTGTTTTCTCTTTGCTTTCACTTTTGAGTCCGCAGGAATCCAGGCGGGACACAGGGGACTTGAATTCCCGCTTCCTGTTATTGTTTTCTGCAGGACTTCACATCACCAACTGCAGAGAAACAGTGGAGCCAAAAAGAGCCCCGTAGATCCTTCAAACACTAAAAAAAGCCCAAAATACCATTCAATAGATTGTTTCTTCTTTGATCTACCCCACAAACAAACAACTCGACGAGTCCACATAGAAAATTTCCAAGTTCCGCCTCGTTTAATTAACCATTTAATGCAACTTGCCCAATTGAATTTGCATTGCTAGTCATTAAAGGCAGACAAAAGCTAAAAAGAAGCCAAGTAGCGGAGAAGGACACAAAGAACAGTCCCGCGGGCCAGCTCACAGCCTATTGCCTGCAGTTCAGTATTTTATTCGTCTCTTGTCAGCACCTCTGTGTTCTTACTGCTACGAAAAAGTATCTTTCTACTTTAGATTTGCTTTCTTATCCACTTTGTGCTGCCGCAATCCTAGTGGATCTGCAAGAGAACTGAGAATGAAGCTTCTGTTGCAAATCTGTATCGCTTGATACTGAGTTGAAAGGTTTCTGCGAAACCTTTGCCGATCCTTCGCCTAGAATATAATAAAGTAATTAAACACAACACTAGAAACCTGAAAGCTGTTGATGAGGTGAGGAGTCCATGAATGGAACTTTAGCAACGGGCCATCATCAGTCGAATTGATGGAGTGGAGTAGAGCATATTTCCATTGTGGGTAACTATTTGATGACGACAATGCGCCAGAACAGATGAAGTTCTTTTGGAAATCAAATACAAATGTTTTTGCACTCCCCAGAGGCATAGAGCCGCTGATGCAGGGAAGCACAGGTACTATTCTCAAAAGCCAGACGGAAAACGACGAAAAACACCTCAGCCTGACGACCTGCCATTCAATTTGAAAGTACATCTAGCCCGCTACGACCAAAGCAACGGAAGCTGAAGCGTAAAATGATACCACGGGAAATCGCGAGAAAAACAGCTAATTAGTTAGCGCACTCCTGTAATAAGAGCTAGAATTTGTCCATTCTCAGTGCAACGCATTGATAGGAAAAGACATTTCTTGTCGACACGAGCGACCAAATATCAAAAGAAGTATAGTGAGCCGCAGGTCTTGATAACATACTTCAATAGACACGTTGTTAATCAAGCGCAGCCGCTGTTGAGTAGGCCGCCTCAGGAAAATGGCAGCAAATGTGACGGAGAGTTTCATCCGATTGTGAACAAGCATGAAACTCGGGAATTCCCCAATCCGGTATACTTTTCTTTTTGTTCGGAGGAGTGCGGTTGATGGCTTTAGGAAACTTCAGCTGCTTTAAACGTTGAATTTATAATTGCCAGCTCATAGCGGTGCCACTGAAGTGACCCGCACTAGAACACATGCTTTCCACTTCCCCCACAACTACTTTCCCTGCGCACTGTGGGCTGCTCTTCATAATTGATTTGTATGCCGCAATTCAAGTGCATGGACTTCTCATGCAGCAATGGAATGTTAATTGGTTCGAACAGTCCATTTGCTTTGTCAGACATGTCCCACGCTCAGCTTCAATCTCTCTATTCCATGCCGAGTCTTCACCTGCCTAGGTAAGCACAGGCCACAAGCCTCTTGTAAAGGAGTTCTGCGTAAACAGAGGTTTGCTTTGGGCCTGTAAATAGGCAGTTTAGTGCTGTTGAATAGGCTCGCTCCTACTGCGGGTTAAGCGCTCATGGGCACGGCTCTTTGCGTGACTCGCTTCTTTATGCGTTTCCTCGCGAAGTTGAGTACCTTTATACAGCTTGCTACGGATATCCAGAAGCTTTTTGACAGATGATGCGGGTGAGTTCCATGTTCTTTCTCTCACTTAAAGGCGAAGTAACTGTTCCCTTAAAATGACGATTGAAGGACTAGTTGTACTTGCCAGGCCACCAAGAATACAAGTACAATAATTAGCGGGAACACAAGCCTTATGATGAGAGAGGCCAATGCGGAAGTAGTAGCTGGGTAACACTCAAATATTTTACTGAAGCAAACTTAATTTTTGCCCTCAGGAAATGAGTGCTGTGTCTGACTAAGACTGACCAGCATGCAGCCAACAGGCCAGATGGGATCTGTGTCTGCCCTTACCGGCATGCACCTCTAAGCTGGAGAAGTTGTGGGGGAAGTTACGCTGATCATTTTGGTTATGACAATGCAGTGACGAACCAACAAGAATAGTATACCTCGAAACCAATGCTCGGTGACGTAAAAGTTGTAGCGAAAATGCCAATACTGTGTGGGGTGCCTACGGGATAAGTACAAGTCCAGTCATCAAGTTTCCATATTTCTTTTGGCAAACGCTGGACTGCAGTACATGGCTGCAACGCTAAGGCGATTCTCGCAAATATGCGGCTGTGAGGAACATTTTAGCACATTTTCCCACATGTAAGAGGATGGCTGGCTGAGTGTTGCATCTACCCTCTATGAAAATGGCTGTCTGCGCTTGTGGGCGGAGCCAGTACGTAGTCAGATCGGATTTTCCTCACTAGAAAGCTGTCGAGCAACCTCCAGGCATTTCGCCATTCTTCCTGGTCTGGGGTTTTATAGTAGCCGTGGCTGTGTAGCGGTACTCAGGCAGGCCTCTTCTTGACTTCATATGAAGGTGGCGGCTGCTTACGTGGTGAGGCTGAAGGGTCTTAGCTCACAAGGAGCAGCTGCAGATGGCCAAAAGTTGGCGCAAGCTGTTGACGACACTTGAAGGCGCACCAGTCTTTGTGATTATAAGGCGATCCAGCAAGGTGAATTACGCTGGGAAACGTGCACATCTGTGCATCTGGCCTTCCCGTTTCGTGGAATAGTGTAAGGATGGCGTTTTAGACAGCGCTTGAGACCAATTTTCAGCGGAAGGGAGGCTGCTCTTTTGGGACCGGCACAAAACCACTAACTTTCCCCGCTCTGCATCTTGTGACAAGCCTACAACAGGGCTGCTTGTTTCTGCATCTTTATACCCTGGGGCGGATTGTAGATTAGGTAGAATATAAGACCCGAAGAAGCCTTTGCAGTATTGAGGAGCAGCACTTGCCCTCCCCAGATGGTGACCTTCGAGCGCAGTAGCTGAGAGCCATTACAGCTCCCTTTGTGGCCGCTAAACGAGCAGAACCTAGTGAGGCAAGGCAACTAACTGAAAGCAGTTGGCCCGCCGAGATTCCTCAAAACAAAAATTGGTGTATGATGTCCCGAACATACCAGCAACTGGATGAATTTTTTCACTTTTCAATTGGGGGTTTGCCAGTGTAACGCAAACTGCCTATTTTCTCTGACGTTAATGACACTCTGCGTTTCTGCATATCCGAGAAGTCCTGGGTGCTGCTCGCTGATGGTAGTGCGGCATAGTTGTAGACTCGTGCCCTACTTTATCGAATGGATCAAATAGTCTCCTGCACTGCAGCATTAAGGAACTGAAGCATTGCCGGTGAAATTGCTCCTGTGCTGTTCCTCGAGTTGAATCCCTGCTATTCGGCGTTCTATTCCTTTCAAGGAGTCGATAAGCCAAATTTAAAAAACAAACAAAAAAGCAATTCTCTCGCAATGGAATTTACAGATTGATTGCTTGCGTGCAGCTCATTGGTGACTGCGAAAAAAGGATGGATCCGGTTTGGACGCACTTCAGAGGCGTTCGACAATGCATGTGGGAGTTTAGTCTCAGATCTTTGTTAAATGAGTTTTTCTCTGCTTAATGCGTTTAAAGGCGCGTTTGCTCTGTGTTTCTTTCAACTCTTTGGCGAAGAGGTCATCGCATGCTGCTCTGCAGACCTTCTGCCCAGAACTCAAAACCCCACTGTAGTGAACAGCCGTCCAGCACTGTTACTACGTATGGTCCCAAGACAAGCCCGACTTAGGTGAGCGCTCGGCTCTGTCGGTCGAAGGTACCTGATTAATAACTAACAGCTGTCTGAAACCTTAATCGACCTTCTTCGGTGGAGTTCATATCATTTCAAGGTGAGGAAAAACCCAGAATAATAGAACTGAGAGCTGACCCTCCCTGAGGGTCAGCGTCCGAGTCGCGTCACAGCACCAGCCTTGCGC